CAGTATAACATGGTGGAGGTCTATTCACTGCTTCTGAGACTGCCAGGTAGGAGCCACGCTCATCACCTCAACTCTGGTAACCTGTTGGCCCATACTGCTACCAAGTAACTTGTAGCACACTGACCACACAACCCACTCAAAAGTTTGGTTTCCTGAAATAGCCAGAGTTAGTGCTAGCAGCATGGACTAGGAAACCACTTTTTAGAAACAGTGTTTTTTTTTTTCTACCACTGAATCAGGAAGACCTGTTTTAAAGAAACTGTGGCCTATAGGCAGCAAACAGAGGAAGAAGTTGTGGTAGACTCTGGTTTTTTTGTGTGTGTCTAGAATTTCTTTTTACTTTTTCTTAGGTTTTATGTGGATATAGTTGACCACATTGGCGTGCCAATCTGTTGGGGGAAGAGGCTGCTTGTTTGTTCTTGGCCGCCCAGATCCCTGAATTAATCACACAGAAATTGTATTAACTAAATCACTGCTTGACCCAGAAAGACAAATATAATGTGTACTCATTCATTAGTGGCTTTTAGACATAAAGCAAAAAAAAAAAAAAAAAGCAGGGAGGGAAGGAGGGGAAGAAGGGGAGGGAGGGAGGAAGAGAGAGGGAGAGAGAGAGAGATCTTGGAACAGTCAGTTCTAAACCACATGTCTCTATCATGGATCCTTGTAGACCTGGTGGCAGAAAAAGTATAAAAGTTGAGAGGATGGAAGACAGCAAAGAAACTAGGTGATCTAAATCAACAGGATCAACACACATAGAACTCACAAATGATACAGCATGCACAAAATCAAACAGGTCTTTGGGTATCTATTATGGTTTCTCATTTATTGTTTTGATGGGATTCCTGGGCATGTGAATAAATGGGTCTTTGGTTTTATATCTTTTTCTTGTGCCTTTTCTTGGCTTTTTTTCCTTTGGCTTGTTTTGTTCTATTTAACATGTTAGTTTTAAAAATATTTTATATTATTTATATTACATTAATCTCTTAGAAGCCTGTTTGTTTACTTTTAAAAATATTTTTATTTAACTTCTTTATTGACTCTCTGACAGTTTCACATTATTTACCCAGTTCTGATCATCTCCCAGTCCCCTATATTCTGCCTTCATCCCTGCTATGCCCCACAAAAGAAAACAAAACAAAGTAAGCAAGCAAGCAAGCATGTAAACAAAAAAAAAGCAAAAATAATCCACCCCAAAACAAAACCATCACAACAGAAAAATCTCTTTGTTTCTTCTTCTTTCCTGCTTCTCCAACAGCTCTTCATTATCCATATAGTATACCCCTTTGTACCATCAGATTTAGTAGTAAATGTTCATTGCAGAGGAGTCACTGATTGGGTTCAAGGCCTCTGGTTTCTGGTACACCATTCTCACTTGGATCCTCACCAGAGCTCTTCTGGGATATTCTGGGACAATCCTGAGTCTTGGAGATCTTACAGGTATCATTCCACAGTATCCATCTGTTCATGAACTCCAGCAGGTTCTAGGTTGGGTCAACCCAAGGCCTGGCTGTGGGCCTGGGTCGTAGCCAAGCTGGTCAGTCCAAGCCATTGGGGCCACCCATCTAGGGTGAGGGGGCATAGTCAGCTCCCCTACATGGATGTCCTCAGGGTAGGTTCATCTTCACCTGTGATGAGGGGTGGGGTCATCTCTCCCACATATAGTGGTCAGCTCTCTTGTTGCAATTCCCAGAGAGAGGCAAGGCCAGAGTTCCCAGGGCAACAAAGGTTGGGACTGGCTCAGCATGGCCCTCTGATTTCATCTTGCATGGTTCCTAAGGCCTCCTGAGGTGACACAGGTCACAGACATCAACACAGACCCAGTTGCAGCTGGACCATGGACCCAGACATGGTCCTCAACAGCAGTTTTTGTCCAGATGACATCCTTGCTCTGGGAGGAAGGAATGTTCACTCAAATGGGAATGGTTCTGGTGGTCATGTGACCATACCTGTTTGTTTTCTACTTAGATACAGAATTGGTATAAGTCCAGGTGGGAGGGGAGTTTAGGGGGAACTTGGGGGAATATAGGCAGGAGAAACTGTAACCAGTATATATTGCATGTGAAAAGAATCTATTTCTTTTCTAATTTTAATTTATTCTTCTTTCATATATTACATCTTAACCACAGTTTTCCCTACCTCCTCCCCTCCCAGCCCTTTCCCCTTCTCCCATTTCCCTTTATCCACTTCTTCTCTGCTTCCCTTCAGAAAAGGGCAGGCCCTTCAGTGATGTTAACTACACATGGCATATCAAGTTATAATAATACTGGGCACATTGCTTCATATTATGTCTGGATGAGTTATCCCAGTAGAAGGAAAAGGATTCCCAAACAGGTAAAAGAGTCAGAGACGTTCCTCCCTCCTCCACTCCTACTGTTAGGATTCTCACAGGAAGAACAAGCTACACAAACATAGCATATATCCAGAAGACCTAGGTCAGACCCATGCAGACTTCTTGATTGTTGGCTCAGTCTCTGCGAACCCCTATGAGCCCATGTTAGTTGATTCTGTGAGATTTCTGTGTTATTGACCCCTCTGGCTCTTAACAGCCTTCGTCCCCCTCTTCTACAGGAAGAATATCTTTCTTAAGATAGAAGAAAAGAAGAAAGAGTGGGCACTTTATGGAAATACAGTAATAGTTTACAAACAAGTGCTTCTTTAATGTCAATAATTTTAAATAATACACTCTGATACTATTTTGGAAACATAAGACATGCGTTTCTACCTTAGTCACTTTTCTGTTATGTGATAAACACAATGTGAAGGGAGCAGGGAAAAGCTCCTTGGCCTAAGTACTGCCTTTTTGACTTCAGATTCAGTTTTACCTGCAGGGGAAATAGAGTTCAGGTTCCCAAGCCATAGAGAAGAACTTTCCTATGGCTGATCAACCTCATTCCTAAATCATAGAAATAGTCATTATCCGCCTTTAATTTTTTGGAAGATTATGGCTGTTCCTAACCACATAAGGAACAAATGAATATAATTGGTTGGGCTGAAAGGCTTGCACTGTGTATCAGTTAACAATGATTGAACATTCAAGGAAGCCCCCAATCTCTAAATCCTGATAGGTAAAAAATTGTAACTGTAACTTAATAACAAATGTTAGTGAATTTTATCCTTATAAACCCTACTACTGTTCCTCTTCAGGACTATCAGGACAATCAAAGCACCCGAGTCCTTGTTCTGCAGCCCTCATCAATCAGTGACCTGTTTATGTGATGAATTATTAAAAATTTTGAAACCCATAAGTATTGTCTCATTCCTTGTGGCTCATAATAGGCTATATGTAATAATGATCAGCAAATTTATAAATGTAAAAATTTAATTTGACTTATGGTTTCTCAGGATTATAGTTTATGATGGCAGAACAAAAGAACAGCTGAGAGCTTACATCATGATCCATAACCATGAGGCTGTCAGAACACTGGAAACAACAACAGTCTTTCAAAAACTCAAAGCTCATCTCAGTGACACACCTACTTTAACAAGGCCACACCTTATAATGCTTCCCAAAGAGTTCCACCAACTGGGGACCAAGCATTCAGACAGAGTCTATGGGGCCATTCTCACTTAAACCACCACAGTTACTGTGGGTATGAGTGGAATGGGGGAAATGACAGAGTTAAGATTAGGGGATTGGAAATGTCTCCACAGTTAAGAGCACTTGCTGCTCTTGAAGAGGACCTGGGTTCAGTTCCTAGAACCCATTTTGTAAACCACAATCATCTGTAACTCTAGTTCCAGAAGATCCAACACCATCTTCTGACCGCCCTCTGCACTGAACATATGTGGTTCACATGTAGATATGCACGCAACACACTCATACACACAGATGAATGAGTATGCAAATAAATAACAGTTTTTTTTTAAAAAAAGAGTGACCTTGAAAACCTCTATAAGGAGAAAAGACAGGCAATAGGGTAATAGAGAAAGACAGGGGAAGGAAAAGTCAACAGAATGAGCAACAAAAGGGGGCAAAGTAAAGCAAGTGTGACTAGGGGCATCTGTAACTAACTGTTAAAATGTTTATTTTCCATAGCATTATATTAATTGATATTTGAATATTTGAGTCTAATTTAAAGAGAAAAATAAAGAGAAGGGGGAGAATAGTGACTGATGTGGGAAGAGGAAGATGAAAAAGAACAATAAACTTACCTACTGATTATTTTTCTCTACAATGTACATAGCCCCTTCCAGTTGGGGGAACATAGGAAGAATTAGAGGGAGGAAATGGATACTGGATTTGGTCCGAATGCACTACATGAGTATATGCAATTCTCAAATAAAGCAGAAAAAACAGTAAACTTGCAATTTTTTTTTTGAGCTAAGATCTCACTACGAAGTCTTGGCTTTCCTGGAATTCATTCTGTAGACCAAGCTGGCCTCAGACTCATAGAGATTCACCTGTCTCAGCCCCCAGAGTACTAAGATTAAAGGCATGCACTGCCACACATGGAAGATATTTTTTAGTCAGTCATAAAACAAACTCCAAATCATGCTATAAATGTCAAGATAGCATTTTTGGTTATTTTCTTTAAAGGTGAAATTCTATGATCATAAATACTTGCATAATCACCTTGAGAATGAGATGCTTTTAATTTGAACCAATACTAGAGATATCAGCATGGAAAATTATTGTTATTGTTGCAATGTAATAATAAAAATGATGGTGATGATGATAAAAATCTATCTGATATTTAAAGGTCTGTCTATGAAGAACAATTGAATATTAGGTGATAACAAAATAGATAAAATTTCAAACAATTATTCTATTGAATCATTCAGAAAAAGCATTCGGTCTAAAATGTGTTCTAGTTACTGACATAAACTCTTCAATGTAAGAGCTGTAACACAAACCATCTTTCTTTCTCTGTCACTTATGAGGCAACAGAAGCTCATTGGCACCAGAAACCTGATGCTGTGGTCAACTGATAAACTAGATAAGCTGTTCAATTCACAGAATCCTTGCTGAGGCAGTGCCTCCTCTCAGCTCAAGCAGCACCATGATGCTCACACTGCTCACTGTGGTATGTTCTGGTGAGTCCTTCTGGGAACGAAGGGTATGGAACACCAAGGTAGAAATACAGTCTCGGAGACACTCAGGTAGATGGGCATTGGAGGGTTGGTTAATCTTTACACAATAGGGTATGGCTTCAGAGGCTTACAGACCTGGCAGAAGCAGGAGGAATTGAAATCAAGCATTGTGAGGACATGGATCAACTATCTTTTTTTTTTTTTGCAGGGTTCATCTGGGTTCAAGGGATCTGGTCACAAGTTGGTAAGTTTGTTTGCCAAACCAAGTAGAATGTTCCCATTACAGGAGAGCAGGAGGCACACAGCTCATTAGTTGAATGTGGGAATCCCTGTGGGTGAATTTCTATTGAATTGGAAAGTGGGGTGCCTGGAGAACTTGCCTGTGATAGCTCCCACACATCCAACAATTTTGCCACTCACTAAGTTAAGCTGTACAGAAAAATAGAGGGGAATGGAAGAATGCAAGGTATCTTATAGTAGGCTTCACCGCATAGTAAGTAGGGAAGCAGAGCTGGAAAGAGCAGTTCCTGTAGGACCAGAAGGGATCACGGGCATCCCAGAAACTGTATGAGGGCACTGCACATAAAGTACAGCTGCTCTTGTGCCAGGAGAGGTGGAAGAACCAGAGATTGTGCCCCAGGAATGTACAATGTAGACTGTTTTTAATATTTTCTCATATTTAGCAACATCATTTTATTCACATAAAATTTGATATCTGTTCTGACTTTTAAAAACAAGTTTTACAAGTCAGGTGTGGTGGCACATGTCTTTATTTCCAGGACTTGAGGGCCAAAGACAGGCAAAACTCTCTGAGTTTGAGGTTATCTTGGTTTACATAGTGAGTTTCAGGATATTCAGGGATATCTAGAGAGATCCTATCTAAAATATTTATTACTTCTTTGAAAATTTCATATTTTGAAAGTATTCAATCCTCTCAATACTATCCCTTACCAAACTCTAAACCCTCCAGTCCTTTCCCACCCAACTTTGTGATTAGTTCTTTTTACCTTTTGCCATCAATTCCAATGTGTGTTTCTCTTGGTGTTGGCCAGACTATCAGGTATCATATCATTAAAAGGAAACCGACTCTCCCTCTCCAGCAACCATCAAATGCTAAAACCTCCCCAACTAGTGCTGGCATTTCACGTCTGCCTTCTGCTGTTTGTACCGGGATTCTGTCTGACTGAAGTCTGCCCAGGTTTTACGCCAGCTGTCACAACCCCTTTGGGTTCATATGTGCACCTGCCAAATTGAGTTTTTAAAACTCTATTTTCTTGAAGTTGTCTACCATATATGGCACTTCCAATCTTTTCATCCCTTATTTCACAAAGATCCCCAAGTCTTGGAGTGAGATATAAATGTCTGATTTGGGGATGAGAACTCATCAATATTTAGTTCTTGACCTGCTGACCAGCTTTATTTTGGAGGGAGGTGTTCTTTGTGTTGATTACCATCTAGTATAAAGAGAATCTTCTTGAAGAGAGTTGAGAGATGCTGTGATCTATTGTGTATAGCAATAAGTCAGTAGTAGTCATTTTTATATTTTTTATTAATTTTGTATACAACCACAGTTTCCCCTCCCTCTCCTCCTCTAACTCTCCCAACCTTCCTCCAAATTACTCCCATCCACTCTTCAGAAAGGGTAAGGCCTCCCATCACCCACACCTCCAGAGAAACTAGGTAACGAGGACCCTAAGAGGGACACATGGGTTGCCCTGGGAAGGGGAAATAGATGCTATCTTCTGAGTAAACCAGGGGTGAGGGGTGGAAAAGGGAAAGAGATGGGGGATAAGAACATGAGGGAATGGAATATTTGAGTTGGTGGAGGGCTGGAGTGGGAGAGCAATGAAAGAGATATCTCGATAGAGGGAGTCATAATGGGGTTTGGGAGAAACCTGATGCTAGGGACTCCACAGGTGTCCACAAGGATGACATTAGCTAAGATTCCTAGAAATAGTGGAGAGGGTTTCTGAACTGGCCTTCCCTTGTAATCAGAGCAGTGGTAGTCATTTTAATACTGTGTCCATTTAGCAGAATAATAGTATTGGGTTCTCAACTTGGGCCTTGTTCTGCATCTTATTTTTACATATAGATGACATTTTTGTCAAAAAGTATTGATTCCTTTATAAAGTAGTTGCTCAAAATTCTCAGACCACGTTTTTGTTATAGGAAGGCTAGCTTGTGTGGTGGGTGGTCCCAATGCGTAGTGCTGGGCACTACTGGCCAGGACAAGCCTTGGGAACATGGAAAGGAGAAGGAATGCTGAACACATAGGGGGAGGGACCTCTCTGTTTTTCCTCTAAATCTGGGTCTCCTTTTCCCCACAGTGGACTCTAAGAAGCCCTTTCTGTCTGCCTGGCCAAGCCCCATCGTTCACGTTGGAGAGCATGTGGTGCTGCACTGTCGGTCTCAGCTTGGGTTCGAAATGTTCCGTCTGTTCAAGGAACTCAAGGGCCACATCCTCGAGATGCAGAACTTGAAGTCCCAGCAGAGCTTTCTGATAGGCCCCGTGACCACAGCACATGCAGGAATCTACAGATGCCAGGGATTCTACTCTAAATCTCCTTATGGATCATCAGCACTAAGTGATAGCCTGGTGATTGTGGTCACAGGTAAGAGGGCTTCTTGTGCAGAGGAGTGGTTCCTTATCCAATATTTCTAATCCAAATATTTCTACAGGAACTGTCAGTGGGAGTTCCATCAGAAGAGTGAGGACATCTTTAAGAGATTCAGGTTACGGATAATTAAATACAGGGGACTAAGTACTGAGGGATACAGGACAATAGTCATCATTTGCCACCATCCCTCTAATACCCGGAAACTGAATGTCTACAGCCTATAGCTCAAAGGTTTGCCTGTGGCTTGTGTTATGACACTGTGTGCTGAGAGCTCATCCAATAGTGAGGATGTGTTGGTATATAGGCATGTTAAAGGGGTGTAGCTAGTACCAGATGTCCTCAGAAGTTATCAGTAAGACTCTCATGGGGTCTTCAATATCCCTTTCTATTTTATGTACATGCACAAATATTTGTTTCTGGTGCCCTTAGAGGCTAGAAAAGGACATTAGATCTCTTGGAACTGGAATTACAGTCAGTTATGAGTTGCCATGTGGGTTCTGGGAAATGAACTCAGATCCTATGGAAGAGCAGATGTTACTTTTTAGCCATCTCTATAAACCCAACCCTGTTCAAGACATAAAGTGTTTGTTCCCTTTATAACTTGCTGCTTCCCTCTCTGCTCCTTTACTCTCTGTGGCAAATCATACTTCATCAGAGAATAAACAGAAGAGCTGCCTCACCTTTGACCCTCAATCTCTAAAACTTTCACCCTAGTTAAACATTTTTCACAAATGAGGTATCCAACATCAAATGGACTGGTATATATGAAAAGAAAATTCAGGTAAAATAAGAAAGTCTGGGTCTTAGAATTTATCCCCAAAAGGGAAGACAATACCTTATAACCCAAACAGCCTAAATCAGAGGAAGGGAGAGTTGGCGCTGGTGTTTGAAGGTCAGTGCGTTGAACTGTGGAAGAGACTGTACAGTCAGCTATGAAGATGGAGAATAGGTCTAATCAAAGGTCTCTAGAAACTTGGAGGGGAAAAATGAATTCTCCTCTAGACTCTCATGAAGAAAGATAGCACTAAAGGCACCTAACTTAAGCCAGCAGTGTCTATTTCAAACTTTGGACATCTAGAGTACACATGTATTTAATTTAAGCTGCACACTTGTGATCATTTGTAACAGCAACAATTGGAGTCTAACACAGATACACAAGTCAAGGACACATTACCAAAGCCAAAGAGGAAAGAGTAGGGATGTCCTGATATCAGGAAGATCAGTACACTGAGATTACCACCAGATAAAGACTGTCCACTGCTCTCACGGAGTCCAGACATGGCAGGGACCCTTTTTAGAACTAGACAGGGAGAACCTTAAGGAACATATTCTCATTTGTTTTTACTAATCCTTGCAGCCTGAAATGGATTATACTTTTTCAAAAAGAGCGTGAAACAAGCTTGCAAAGCAAGTCTGAGGTGCAGTCTTCCAGGTTGCCTCTCTTCCTTCATGATATGAAGTGAGAAAGAGGTCGATGGGAGATGAGTGCAATAGACACAGTCCTAGGACACATCGGGTGAAAACTGTCAGGTACTAATAGAAACAAAGAACTAGGAAAACACATAGAGAGCAGGAATGTGTGTGGAGGAGAATGTAGACACAGAAAATTATGAGAGACCCCAAGAAGGAGGAAAAACACAAGGAGAAAGAACCTCACTTATTTAAGGCCTAAGAGTTTGCTGAGGTAGTTTGACTCCCAAATTCACAACTTCTTTGTTCTTAGGGATCTACAGAAAGCCCTCACTCTTGGCCCTGCCAGCTCCCCTGGTGAAACCAGGAGGGACAGTGACATTGAAATGCTCATCAGAGATTGTGTTCGAGACCTTCATTCTGGTTCTGCACAGAAAGGGGCTAAGAGAGGACCCTCTGTACCTTGTTGGGGAGCCTTATGACGGTGGTGTCCAGGCCAACATCTCCATAGCACCTGTGACGACTGTACACACTGGGACCTACAGATGCTATGGTTCTGTCAGTCACCAGCCCTATGAATGGTCAGACCCCAGTGACTCCCTGGACATCAAGATCACAGGTGAGAGAGAGAGCAGGGGAGAGAACATAAACATAGAATAAAAAGTGAGAGAGAAAGTAAAACATGATTAGAGGGAATGGCTGACAGTAATAAAGAAAATCTGAAAAACAGGATCTCAGAGCGAAAGAAACAAAAACAAAGATTTGATGATGGATCGTTCTAAAAGAAGGTTAGAAAATGTGAAAAGCAGAGAAAGGAACCATGACAGATGATAGCAATAAATATACAACAGATAGCATTTTGGCCACACAAAGTATGACATTGGAGCAATACAGAGATCAGCACAGTCCATGAAAAGAAATGACACACACACTTACTATGAAATATTGCATAAATAGTAACAGCTAGTAAACTTTTAGCATAGTTCATTTGCTGAGCATATGCCTGACATGTGTGGTCACTTGTGCAAGAATGACACAAAACATTCAAAATTAATAACTTTAAAACACAGTAAAGAATTTCAAATACATAAATAGCTATTATGCTTAAATATAATGTTGGGTAATGGTGGTGACAGTAAATAGGTAGATAGTATCTTAACTAGTTCCAAGTGGTATCTCACATAAGAGAAATTCATAGACATGCAAATGTGCTACAGAAAATCCTCAGTATGTTGTTTATCTACCAATGCATAAAGAAGATGAGATAAAGTAGTAAAAATTGCAATGCTAGTGATTCTATATTTGGGGAAAATGTAGTATATTTTGGTCTTTTCTTGTGTACAATCTTATTGCCCAATCTATCATGATGCCAAAATTTTCACAATAAATTACCATTCTGGAGAATGAAAACTGTAGGATTAAACTTGTAATGGAGACCACAAGCATACAATGTCAGGAAGTGTCAGTGGGTATCCTTTCAGAGATGTAACTTTATAAATGCATTAAATACACAGTTATTGGAGAAAGCCCAGGAGAAAGAGATGGGCTGCAAACTGCTGTAGAACATTCCAGCGCTCACCTTCCCTCCCTCTCTGCCTCTCACCTCCTGATGACCCTAGCTCTTCATGTCCTTTTGACCCCAAACTAGGTAAGCACCAGGAATGCCAAGTTGCTAGGGGATCTGTGGAAGGTCACATGACATGATCAGAGGACAAACAGTACTTCAGAACTCCTCACAGTTGGCTAGTTCCTGAGTCTGTGACTCCTTTCTCTCATCATCTGGTCTCCACTCTAAAATTTTTCTCTTGAGCATTCTCCATAGTTTACCCCAATCTGACTCTTATTGATGTCTTAACACTAGAGTTCCAATAAGCTCTCTGCTTTGATATTATTTTGTGAAGGGACAGCGAGAAAAGTCCTGAATAGTCAGGAGGGAAATTGTTTAAAACTATGCATTATAATCTTCCCTGTGTCCTCAGAAGACAAAAGAGAAGGATGGATTATTATAGCTAAGCAGTGAGAGAAAAAAGAAAGCAGAGTGAAATGCCAGTGAAAATATCATCTCAGATCAGACACATTTGCAGTCAGTCTTTATTGCAGTCTTTCCATTCCCCCATATGACAATATCATAACCTCACAATCCAGGGCTCTTCAGTATCAGGTGAGGTTTGTGTTCATGGAGGACGTGAGTTCCTAATACTCCCCTGGTAAAGACACACTAACGGACACTACTGTAGCAGAGAGGCTCCGTGAAAGATTGCAGTGGTGGCAGAAGTCAAATGGCAGAGTCCAAGGGGCTCGTGATAATTCAGGGATAATGAAAGACACATAGACAGAAAGCATTCTGCCAAGGTTAATGGGAAAGTACTTCATTTTGCAGCTCCTGTATGGATGTTGAACTGCTGGCCTACATGTGAAGTTTTCTGTTTCTTCCAAAGGTCCTGTTTTTCAGAATTACATCCTGGGAAATTCCATCAGGATAGGTGTGGCGGGGCTGGTCTTACTGGCTCTGTTGATGATGTTGGCTGAGGCCTGGTGCAGTCATGAAGAGTTAAAGATGGGGAGAAGGAAAATTTACAGAACCCAACTGAAGTGAACAGATGTTGGGACAGGATGGACCCTGGATCACAGTCCATCATATGATACAGCTGTGGGATGCACCACTTCAGTATACAAGAGCACTCTTTGGAGACTAAGGAAACTACTTGGGGAAGCATCAGCAGAGGACACTGGCGATCTTAGCTCCATGTACAAATACCACACAAGATATTTTTATTTGTTCCCAAATGTCATTAATTTTGCCTCATAATTTTTAATGATCTGACTGTAACTTTTCCTGTTGTTGATAATTTTTTCTACTCCTCCTTGTTCCCTTTGGTATCTCTTCCTTTTCTCTTCATTTTTCTTCTTCTCATTGTCCCTATAGTCCTCTTACCCTTATCCTCTTCCTCCTCCCATAATAACCTTTGTTATATTATTATTATCCTTGTTCTTCTTTTCATCTTCTTTGTTCTCACTTATTAACTTTAACCACTGACATTCCTCCTTATACACTTTTGGAGATAGGGTCTTACTATATAGCCCTGCTGCCCTGACCCTGAGAGAGATCAACCTGCCTCTGTCTCCTTCATGCTGGAATTAAAGGCCCATACCACTACACCTGACTTCTCATATATTTTTACACTGTTCCATAAGCTCTCTTTTGCATGTACTTTGCTTCAGGTGCTTAAAATAAGCCAAATATTTAATTTTGCATTCTATAATAACTGCTATTGCTACTACAAAAAGAAGTATGAAGTTGAAGTAATTAAATAATTATTAAATTTCCATTTCTTCTTTATTAAGCATTTTGAAACTTAGTGTTTTAATGTACAAGTTTAAATCTCAAAGCATCACAAAAATATTAAAAGTTTATTTTACCTTAATGAGTTAGCATTCTTCATTTTATAAAACATAGTTCTGCTTTTAGAATAAAATGTAATTTTCTTTTCTTCTGAACTTATACTCTTAGCATTATTTGACCTATATACCAGTAACTTTTAGTCTCTGACTGGCTACTGGTTATCTGTGACAAAATATCTGACAGAAGCAACTTAACAAAGGAGCTGGTTTTTTGTTGTTGTTTTTTTTTTGTTTTTTTTTTTTGTTTTTTTGTCTGACAGTTGGAAATTACCATCCATCGTATCGGAAAAGGCACAGCAGCAGCAGGGGCAAAAGGAAGCTGGTCACATTGCATCTGTAGTCAGGAAGCACAACCTTGAATCTTGCTGTTCATCTCACAATTCTCCTTTTATCTCGTGCAAGACAACAGGCCATGGGATGGTTTTGCCCACACTGAGGGTAGTTCTCATTTTGGTTAAAATTCTGAAAATGTCCCCACAAACATGCCTAGTGTCTTGTCCCTCTGGTTATTTTTAATATCATAGAGTTCACAATTAATATTTACAAGTTGACAAACCTATTAGTATCCTAAATGACTTTATCTACTTAGAGTTAATCTTTTTCCATTTATTTCAGTGATAGGGGTTGTACTTGGAGCCTACTGCATCTTAAACAAATATTCTCCCATTTACCCATATCCTGATCTCATATATATATATATGAGAGAGCGTTAGAGAGAGATAAAGAGACAGAGACATGAAAAGACAGAGAGACAAACACACTCATGACCAATTTTATATAAAATATTGTTAGTTATTTTAGATTATTATGATAAAGCAGCGTTTCCAGAAGTAACTTAGAGAAGGAAGAGTTTATTTTGGTCTATAGCTCCAGAGGTATAAGAGTCTATCATGGTGGCTGGCAAAATGGTTCATCAGTTAAAAACACTGGCTGTTCTTCCGGAAGACCCACTTTCAATTCCCAGCACCCATGTGGCAGCTCACAACTATCTGTAACTCCAGTTCCAGGGGATCTGACACCCTTACATAGACAAATATGCACATAAAAAAGAGCCTAACATGGCAGGGATACATGACAAGATTGTGGAAGAAACATGAAACTGAGGGATTATACCTTTAGCTACAACACAAAGCAGAGAGAGGGAAGTACAAGTAGGATAAAGACACATAATCTCAAATCCCACTCCTGATAACATGCTTCCTCCAGCAAGGTCACACTCTCAAGCCTCCTCAATTAGGGACCAAGTGTTCAAATACCTGAGCTTTTAGGAGACATTCTCATTCAAACTACCACAAGTTCAAATAGCCAAATTTTTATTACTTTAATCTTTCTTAATTCTTTGGTGTCCTTTGTTCTTCTATATCATCATCTTGGGTCCATACTTTAGAATCTGTCTTCCATAACCTCTCTAATTCTATGACTTACTGCTCATGGTGAACTCAGGGTCTGGAAGTCAGGGTCTGAAATATCTCTCTAGAGCAGTGGTTCTCAACCTTCCTAATGCTGTAGATTTTTAGCATAGTTCCTCATGTTTTGGTGTGACCCCCAACCATAAAATTATTTTTTTGCTACTTCATAACTATAATTTTGCTATTATTATTCATAGTAAAAATATATGATATGAAGGATATCTGATATGTGACCCCCATGAAAGAGTCAATCAACCCACAAAGGGTTTGCAACCTACAGGTTGAGAACCACTGTGGTAGAGTAATGAAATCTATTGAAGGTGTTTGAGCTTTGGAGTCAGAAGTTGATCTTGGATCCTGGTCTGTTGTAGGAGCCCACTTGTTCATTCCCAGCTGCCCAGACTCGAAATAACCACACAGAAACTATATTAATTAAAACACTGCTTGACCTTCTACTTTTATTTTCTTACTGGCTAGCTCATACATCTTAATTTAACCCATTTCTAATCATCTGTGTGTGCCATGTGGCTGTGGCTTACTGGCAAGGTTCTGGATTGCCTATCCCCGGTAGTGGCTACATGGTACCTCATGACTCCACCCTCTTTCTCCTAGCATTCAGTTTACTTTTGTCCACCAAGCTCTACTCTTTTACCGTATCACAGGCCAAGACAGTTTTCTTATTCGTTACCATTAAAAGCAACACATATACAGAAGGACTTCCCACACCACTGGTCTAGGACAAACTTTCTACAGTTGTGGAATTGGGGGAAATTTCCTTGACTTAGAACTGTCTTTTCTGTCTAATATG